ATGGAGAGACATACCATGTTCCTGGAATGGAAGAATCAACATTGTGAAAATGACTATACTACCCAAAGCAATCTACAGATTCAGTGCAATCCCAATCAAACTACCAATGGAATTTTCCACAGAACTAGAACAAAAAATTTCACAATTTGTATGGAAACACAAAAGACCCCGAATAGCCAAAGCAATCTTGAGAAAGAAAAACAAAACTGGAGGAATCAGGCCCCCGGACTTCAGACTATACTACAAAGCTACAGTAATCATGACAGTATGGTACTGGCACAAAAACAGAAATATAGATCAATGGAACAGGATGGAAAGCCCACAGATACACCCATGCATATATGGTCACCTTATTTTTGATAAAGGAGGCAAGAATATACAGTGGAGAAAAGACAGCCTCTTCAATAAGTGATGCTGGGAAAACTGGACAGCTACATGTAAAAGAATAAAATTAGAACACTAACTAACACCATACACAAAAATAAACTCAAAATGGGTTAAAGACCTAAATGTAAGGCCAGACACTATAAAACTCTTAGAGGAAAACATAGGCAGAACACTGTATGACATAAATCACAGCAAGATCCTTTTTGTCCCACCTCCTAGAGAAATGGAAATAAAAACAAAAATAAACAAATGGGACCTAATGAAACTTAAAAGCTTTTGCACAGCAACAGAAACCATAAACAAGATGAAAGGACAACCCTCAGAATGGGAGAAAATATTTGCAAATGAAGCAACTGACAAAGGACTAATCTCCAAAATTTACAAGCAACTCATGAAGCTCAATATCAAAAAAACAACCCAATCCAAAAATGGGCAGAAGACCTAAACAGATATTTCTCTGAAGAAGATATACAGATTGCTAACAAACACATGAAAGAATGCTCAACATCACTAATCATTAGAGAAATGCAAATCAAAAGTACAATGAGGTATCACCTCACAGCAGTCAGAATGGCCATCATCAAAAAATTTACAAACATAAATTCTGGACAGGGTGTGGAGAAAAGGAAACCCTCTTGCAATGTTGATGGCAATGTAAATTGATACAGCCACTATGGAGAACAGTATGGAGGTTCCTTAAAAAGTAAAAACAGAACTACCATATGACCCAGCAATCCCCGTACTGGGTGTATACCCTGAGAAAACCATAATTCAAAAAGAGTCATGTACCACAATGTTCACTGCAGCACTGTTTACAATAGCCAGGACATGGAAGCAACCTAAGTGTCCATCGACAGATGAATGGATAAAGAAGATGTGGCACATATATACAATGGAATATTACTCAGCCATAAAAAGAAACAAAATTGAGTTATTTCTAGTCAGGTGGATGGACCTAGAGTCTGTCATACAGAGTGAAGTAAGTCAGAAATAGAAGAGCAAATACCATATGCTAACACATATATATAGAATCTAGAAAATAAAAAAAAAAGGGTTCTGAAGAACCTAGAGGCAGGACAGGAGTAAAGACGCAGACATAGAGAATGGACTTGAGGACACAGGGGGGGGAAGGGTAAGCTGGGATGAAGTGAGAGAGTGGCATGGACATATACACACTACCAAATGTAAGACAGATTGCTAGTGGGAAGCAGCCATATAGCACAGGGAGATCAGCTCAGTGCTTTGTGCCCACCTAGAGGGGTGGGATAGGGAGGGTGGGAGGGAGACGCAAGATGGAGAAGATATGGGGATATATGTATGTGTATAGCTGATTCACTTTGTTATAAAGCAGAAACTAACACACCATTGAAGGCAATTATATTCCAATAAGGATGTTAAAAAGTAAGAAAATAAAGCAGAGATCAGCAAACTAGAAAGAAATTAATTAATTAACATACAGGTTAGGATACAGGATTCTAGTTAGTATAATTTAATTTTCTTGTAATTACCACATATCAAATACTATTCAAAGAATAACAATTTTCATAGAGAAATGCAAATCAAAACTACGGTGAGGTATCACCTCACACCAGTCAGAATGGCCATCATTAAATTGTCTACAAATAATAAATGCTGGAGAGGGTGTGGAGAAAAAGGAACCCTCCTACCCTGTTGGTAGGAATATAAACTGGTGCAGCCACTATAGAGAACAGTATGGAGGTTCCCTAAAAAACTAAAATTAGAATTACCATATGATCCTGCAATCCCACTCCTGGGCATATATTCAGAAAAGACAAAAACTCTAATTGAAAAAGATATATGCACCCCAATGTTCACAGCAGCACTATTTACAACAGCCAAGGTATGGAAGCAAACGAAAGGTCCATCAACAGATGTATGGATAAAGAAGATGTGGTATATATGTACAATGGAATATTACTCAAGTCATAAAAAGAATGAAATCATGCCATGTGCAGCAATATGGATGGCAATATGGATGGACCTAGAGATTACCATACTAAGTGAAGTAGGTCAGACAGAGAAAGGCAAATACCATATGATATCATTTATATGTGGAATCTAAAAAAAGGATACAAATAAACTTATTTACAAAACAGAAATAGACTCATAGACACAGAAAACAAACTTATGGTTACCAAAGTCGAAAGAGGCAGGAGGGATAAATTAGGAGTTTGGGATTAACAGATACATACTACTACATATAAAATAGACTAACAACAAGGACCTACTGTATAGCACAGGGAACTATATTCAATGTTTTGTAATAATCTATAATGGAAAAGAATATATATATGTATGTATAACTGAATCACCTTGCTGTACACTTGAAAATAACAGAACATTGTAAATCAACTATCGTCAATTAAAAAAATAAAAATAAATTAGAAAAAAATTTTTCAAAGAACTAGAATACAATATTCAAAGAACAAAAAGCCAAAACCAGACTAATAATAATATTAGAAACACTTACATGGCTCTTAGAATATGCCTGGTTTGTTATAACCTCTTTACATTTACTACTAACTCACATCCCTCACAACAACCTCAGACAAAAAGTATTCTTATTATTCCCATTTTACAAATGAGGAAACTGAGGTGTAGAGGGGTCAACCATGTTGTCTGGGCTCACTGTCCTACTAGTAAGTGGCAGAGCAAGGGCTGGAATCCTGCAAGCGTGCTTTCCCGGTCCTTAATTTAAATTGCTATGGTTTACAATCTCTTGGTGATATTAAGGAGTACACTACATAAAGTCTAGGAAAACTCAAAATGCAAAGCAGTTTGGGGGCCAAATATAACAAATGTTCTGAGGAAATCACCAAATCACAACACAACAATGAGATTCATAATGACTGCTCTGAGACATAAGGGAAAGTTAAAATATGTTCAGTATACTTACTGTTTTAGAAGGCAAAGAATTATTTAGTGCATTTAAATTTTTTCCATCCAAAACTGTCAATATGATTTTTATTTCTAAAGGGGTAAAACTTTCAACTGTCCAAAATTACTCATTCCCTGAGAGCTCCAAACAGAAAGTTACTGAGCAATCTTATTTGCCAATTATCTCATTCTTAATGAAAAATATGGTATGTGTGTGGTGTGTGTGTGTGTGGTGTGTGTGTGTAGGGGGATCATAAATAAATTAAGGTGTCCACGTGTTTTGATTCTAGGTATATAAGAACTTAATACTAAAGATATTAGAAAGTGTCAAATCATTTGGATAGATGAGTGAATAAACTCATAGAATTGTGTCATTATTGTAAAAAGCCTAGAATCTGATCACTCATAGTGAGTTATTAAAAAAAAAAAAAGTACAGGCTTTCAACTCATACATAGAACTGAACTTCAAGCTTGTCTCCACCAGTATAGTTACCATGAATTTTTGGCAAGTTAATTTCACATACCTGAACCAAAGTTTCCTTCTCTGTAAGTTGAGGATACTAATTCCTAACTCACAAGGTTCTTGTGTGAGCTAAGGAAAAAACACATGCAAAGTGCTGAACACAGTCCCTGGGATATAGCAGATGGTCAACAAACAGCGACTACTATTATTCCCTAACCTTTTTCTACTTTGTCCCCCAAATGTAAGAGCCTAATCTTACCAATTAGCAAGTCATTCATAGGCTTCTCAGAATTACAGTAAGTACAGTACCATATGCCCTATTCAAAAATGGAGCATATTAAAGTACAAGAAAATACAAAACCAAATCATCAAATGAGACAAAAAAACGTCGGAATCCTGTTTCTCCACCCATATCTTTTCTGGTTGGTTTTGTAATAACCCGCATTGCCTTATCAACAATACGAATCCTATCATTTTTTGGCGGTCTAAACATTCCTAGTTGGGTACTGTTGCTTATTTATTTTGACGGCTACCTTTGCGAGGATAATTGTAATCATTGCTTGAAAACAAAAAAGAAATACAGGACAGGAGTATTTTAATGAAATGCTGTAACTGTTTCATCTATCTCGACGGTTGACTGGATGCCATGTGGATCACTTATTATAGCAATAAATTTTCACATTACTGCGCCACCCCCTTACCCAACAAACACATGCCTTAATGAGCAAAACTCCAGACTGACAGTGAACGAATGCTCTTTAGGGACACAATAACTCAAAACTTGGTGCTCTCAGTAAGGATCCTCGGGGAGGAGGGAAGGTGGCCGGGTGTCACTGCAAGTGGAAATGAACAGAATCGGAAACTGTTCTGTCTCCTTAAACAAGATTGGAGATGAGCCCTGTGGGGCTAGGAGCGGAGAGAAGCGGGTTAGGTGGGCCTTGGAGGCAACAGAGGAAGGAGGCGGCAACTGCAGTCTGGGAAATGTCTGTGCCACCGGGGAGAGGAGCGTCAGAGCCCATCACCACCCGAGGGTGGAGGCGGAGAGAAGTGGCAGGCTCAGCGCAGTCCCCAGAACTGGTTCAGCTTCAGGAGTCTGGAAGGACTGAGAGGGAATGGGAACCCAGGTGATCAGGAAAGATGAGGGTAGGGGTGGGCTCCTGGCTGCCTTCAAAACGGGACGCTGCTGACCCCGCCGCCATCCAGGTGCCGCTGGAGAGGAAGGCAGGGACCCAACAGGGAGCGCTCGGGTTACCTGTGTCAGCCGCCTGCCAGCTCGTCTCCACTTCCGCAGACTAGGTGTTACCACGGGCTACCCGGGCACGCGCCGAGTGACGTCATCCACACGCGCCCGAGCCGCCGTGCGCCTGGCCCCGCCCCCTTGAGTGCAGGGGGTGGGGCAGTGGAGGTCTGCGCAGGCGCGGAGCTGCCTGGGGCTTGGGAAGGCGAGAAAAAGGCTTGTTTTGGATTTTGTAGAGTCGCCGTCTTACCCTTCCTACTCCTAGTTGCAAAATCTTACAGGGACTTAAGAAAAAAAATGTTATTGAAATACAGACATGGACTTTTTATTCTTTATTTTGCTCTTCCTCTTCCGTATATAACTCTTGTTTGTATACTCGTTCGTTCCAGCACAGTTTATTTAAGTCCTATTGTGTTCCAGGCAAGCACTGGTACAGAACCTGGGATACAGCGATGACAAAACAGACACTATGCTTCCTCATGGAGAAAGCAAACGTTGACTAACTCACCAAAGATATTTTAGGCGTATCTCATTTTATTGTCCTTCACTTTATGTCACTGGGCAACCCTGCCATTGTCAGATAATGGTTAGTATTCTTTAGCAATAAAATATTTTTAATTAAGGTAAGTATTTTTTTTACATAATGCTATTGCACACTTAATAGACTACAGTATAGTGTAAACATAACTTTTATTTTCACTTAAAAACCAAAAAATTCATGGGAGTTACTCAAAAACTAAAGGAGGATGTCAGAGAAGTGCCCTATGAAGAGGCTCATTAAACTGAGAACGGAAGAAGCCAGCTCTATGAAGATCTGGAGCAAGAACAACCAAGAGAATGATGGAAAGCTATGGGGAGGGGACAGAATGTAGTGGTGCCCTTGAGAAAGTGAGAAAATAGGCTGGGGGAAGAGTAGAAGATGAGATTAACAAGGCAAGGAGAGTTCTGATCTCCCAAAGTTTCTTTGCAGGAGGCATGGATTTTATTTTAACTATAATGGGAAGCCAGTGAAGAGTTTTAAACATGCAAGTGACAGGATCTGGTTTTATAAGATCACCCTGCCTGCTGTGTATAAGAATAAACGATTTGGAGTCGAGAAAGGGTTCAAAGAGAACAGTTGCTTTTGCAATGATCAGGTAAGAAATGATGGAGAGAAGTGAACAAATTTAAGGAATAATTTGGAGGTAGATATGACAGACTTGGAGATAGATTAGATAAGGCCATAAAGAAAAGAAAGGTGTCAAAATGACTTCTAAATTTTGGGCTTGTGCAAATAGCTGGATAACACAGCTAAGACAATTCCTAATACTTCACAAGATTTTCTCCTCCTCCTTTCAACCCTGATCCCTTTGCTTTTTTGTTACCAAGCCCTCTCAGTTCTCCTCTTACCTTTCTGATCATCTCCCCTCAGTTTCCATCAAGGGGCTCCTTTTTCCTTTCCTTTTCCTTAACTCTTTACCCCTTGATCTTCTTATGCTACATCAGGGGCTGCAAACCCAAAAGGCTACAGTGCCCAGGCAGTGAACACAAAGGAATGAACCTCGTGGATAGAGACTGAAGAACTGGAGCTCATGGTCTCTACTCAGCTCTAATTGATTTTTGCCAACCAGCAATCTTTGCTAGTGATAGATCCTCCCATTTTTAAAGAGAAATCAATATGCAGATACATGAAATCTCTCAAATTTCAAATGTTGGTAACTAATTCAAATTTTGTTGAACTCTTTTTTGGATCAAACAAAAAGCATCTGCAGGCCAGATGAGGCCTGCAAGCTACAACTTTGCCTCCTTGACGGATATCTTCCCAGGATGGTGATTTTTATCTACTTTCATGTGACTATCACCTGTAAGCTGATAACTCCCAAGCCTATCTCACCACCCAAGCCTTTCAAAATTTCTTATTGAAGTACTCAGATTCCACTGAGATATCCAGTTGGCATCTCAAACTTGACATTTAAAACTGAACTCATTATCTACCCTGGCCCCCAAACCTAACCTACTCAAGTATTCTGTCTCAGTTAACAGCATCAGTGTCGACCCACTCACCAAAGCCTGAAATCCAGCATCATCCGAGACTTGTTCCTCTCCTTGTCCTGATCTTGATCTCTTCAATATTTATCACATCTGCCCATCACCTCCATTCTAACTAATCACTGCCTTTGCTCAAGCCTTTCTAACCTCTCTCTGGCAAGTCATGTGACCTCTCTACACCTGTTTTTTCACTTGTTAAATGAAAGGATTGAACTAGGTGATTCCTAGGATCTGTTCCATTGTCAAATTCTATTTCATAGGGCTTCCCTGGTGGCGCAGTGGTTGAGAATCTGCCTGCTAATGCAGGGGACACGGGTTCAAGCCCTGGTCTGGGAGGATCCCACATGCCGCGGAGCAACTAGGCCCGTGAGCCACAACTACTGAGCCTGCGAATCTGGAGCCTGTGCTCCGCAACAAGAGAGGCCACAATAGTGAGAGTCCCATGCACCGCGATGAAGAGTGGCCCCTGCTTGCCACAACTAGAGAAAGCCCTCGCACAGAAATGAAGACCCAAAACAGCAAAAATAAATAAAATTAATAAACTCCTACCCCCAACATCTTCTTAAAAAAAAGAAGTTCTGTTTCATAAAGCCACCAAATTTGTCAGAGTAGTTACTTATCACTTTTTTGTTGGTTTTTGGCCTGGATTTTTTTTTCTTTTTCTTTTTTTTTTTTGCAGCTCCACACTGCTTGCCAGATCTTAGTTCCCCGACCAGGGATTGAACCCTGGCCCTCGGCAGTGAAAGTGCAGAGTCCTACCCACTGGACCGCCAAGGAAGTCCCTGGCCTGGCTATCTGAATACCAAGAATACTGAGGCTAGATTGACAGGAAAAACTGGACTTGATAAAAATAATCAATACAAAATGAAATTAACATTGACTAAAACTGGACACAATTTTATTGTAGAATAAACACTGGCTGAAAAAGAACTACTGATTGGTAACATTGAAAACTGAAAAAGCCGAGAAATACAGACAAGGTAAAATTTGTCGTTTAGTAAAAGTTGATGTAAAAATCAAATATTCAGGGCTTCCCTGGTGGCGCAGTGGTTGAGAGTCCACCTGCCGATGCAGGGGACATGGGTTCGTGCCCCGGTCCGGGAAGATCCCACATGCCGTGGAGCGGCTGGGCCTGTGAGCTGTGGCCGCTGAGCCTGCACGTCAGGAGCCTGTGCTCCGCAATGGGAGAGGCCACAAGAGTGAGAGGCCTGCGTACCGAAAAAAAAAAAAAATCAAATATTCATGTCAAAATTTAGATCTACAAAGTTTGTGCAGAAAAAAAAATTGGCCTTGGTTAATTACCCACAAAAGAAAGTTCATGATGTCAGAAGCTCCAATGGCTAGTATATTTCATGAAAAGAAAAAATAATACTGAATTATAACTTCAAATGTAAAAAAACTGGAATTGATTCCAGCTAAAATGATTTTAGTAAAAATGGAAAAACAAGACAGTTTAACTATAATATAAAGTTGATCATGGCATTAAATTGGCATAATGAAATTTGCTCCAGAAAGTACTATGTTTTATATTAAAGATTTCAAATAGAATTTTAAAAAACTTGGATTGCAGTCACGAGCATGGTCATTTCTGATATTAGCAAGTTATAAAAAGTGGTTTAGATGCAGAAGTTTTCTCATTTTGATGATTCGGGCTAAAAAGAACTCAGAAAACTAGAAAAGTGTGCACTTAAAACTCTGTATGTGGCAGTTAAACAACTAGAGCCAAGACAGCAAATCACTTGACATGAGCTATTTTGTTTTTCTGAGTCATTCATATAGTACCAATCACCACCATGCTTCAACTGACACTTTGTTATATTTGTACTCATAAAAATAAAGATCCCCTTCCATTGTCTTTTTTTCTTTCTACCTGTTTCTCATGGTTATGTAGGAAAAGTCAGCTTTTACAAAATAAATTATTATGAAAAAATGTAATCTTTTTTTTAAAGAAATCAATTTCTAAGACTCTGGTTTATGTAAAATATGGTGTGTGTTCTTGAAGGTTATTTGCACAACACTTGAAATTATAATTATGTAAGTGCCATCTTTCCTACAGAGGAGATCCTTTGGTTTTAATTTGAAAGATTATAAAAACCCTGATATTTTAATGTCAGTTTCTTATACCTCAAAATACGTAGAAAAAGGTAAATCAAGTCAGTTTATATACTTGATACATAAACACAGCAATAAACGTTTCATTTTCAAACATGAAAAATAAATAAACAAATAAAGGTTATCTTGAAAAAAAATGAAAATTTAAAGAATCAAAACTCACTGTCTTTTTTAAATTCTCTATCTCTAGTTTTGCTTTTGTAGCTTCAGTCTTCAGACATTTTTAAATATAGTATTTATCTTTAGATGGAGAAGAACCCATCAAACTTGTAAAATACCCAGGCCAGCAACTGAAGGGAAAATATACCCCCAGCCCCACTTTGGCTTACCTTACTTTGCATATTACTTCTTAAAGCTAAATCTCAAAAGTCTATCAAAAAATTTCTCATGAATTTCTCACAAAAGAAAAGTATTTTTGATTGGGTCCAAGAGTGTTCAGGGACTTCTATTTATAATGCTTTAATGATCCATTTAAAAAATAGTTTTCTAGAAAATACTTTTTTTGATGAAGATTATCGGTGTAAGTATAATTTTGATTTCATGTTAATATACACAAAATCAATGCTTCACAGAATCAAAGTTAACATCTTGCATTCATTCAATAGCTCCTGAAAATCTTTAGTCTTTCAGCTCTAAAACTCCTATTTTTGAGTATTTATTCATGCCACAAGCTGTTGTATTTTCATAAGGTCTGCATAATTGGAGTGCATATAGCCTGGTTTCAGATATGCTTTTCATCAATGACTATTTTTTCCTCTGATGCTATCAGCTCCGTGAAATCTGTTAATATTCCCACTGAGATTTAGTGCATTGGATTTAATTTCAAGAGAATTTCTGACTTAGCCCAGGTGAACTAAATACAATAAAGGAGGAGAAGGCAGAGACTGCTGGCTATCCCTCAATATCCAGGCTGTTTTCCTCACAGAAATAGAATCCCTCA